GGATGGATAATGAAAAGTCTATAAGAAAATAACCAATCTCAGAGAGCACCAAGGACCCCTCATTTCAACCCTGAGCTACAGATATTCTCCTTTATTGGTAATTTCTACTGAGTACACATTTACAATTTTACACAATATTTCCATGACTTGCAACAAATATATACTGCAACAAATACAAGTAGTGACTTTTTTCAAAATACTATATTTTATACAAGATTTTCAGAACGTGTTATATGAATACATTAATCAGGTGTCACTCATTTACTGTATGTATGTTTAGTGAGGAGTAATAATGCCAAACCATTTTAAAATTACCTTAACCTCAGTAGATGTTCAACAAAGTGAGTGAAAGTCTTTAAAAAAATGTAAAGAATACTTTATTTACTTATTTCAGACAATTCCAATTAAGTTGGGGAAAAATATTTTGAAGATTTAAATAAAATGGTGTTAAAATATATATGGCAGGGCAAAAAGGCAAGGATAAAACTAAAATTGATGCAAGATGCCAGATCAAGAGGAGGTTTTGGTTTGCCGGATTGGGAATTGTATTATCAAACTGGTAACTTGATGTGGATTAAAGAATGGATAATGCTAAGGAATATTAGATTGTTGACTTTAGAAGGACATGATTTATTGTTGGGTTGGCACGCTTTTATGTGGTATAAAAGTACAAAAGTACAGGTTTTTTTCAGAAGACATATGATACGAGAGTCTTTGTTATTAAACTGGGAGAAGATCAAACAATGTTACTATTTAAAAATTCCAGTCTGGTTATCACCTATTGAAGCAGTCTCATATGCAATAACATTTAGGAAGGAATAAATTGTTAGATATGGTGAATTATTAAATGAAAGGGGTGAACTTAAGTCAAAGCAAGAACTAGAACAACAAGAGCTTGAAATGGATTGGTTTCCATATATGCAAATACAGTCTAGATATGATGAAGATTCTAAAAAGGAGGGTTTTTATAGTAACTTGACAAATTTAGATAAAATCTTAACAGGTTCTGATGACCATGTAATTAAAAAACTGTACAGTCATTTATTAGAAGTAAAATTGGCAGAAGAACAAGTTAAAGAAACAATGATTGCATGGGGGAAAAATGTGGGTCATGGGATTGACTTAGAGAAATGGGAAAAATTATGGTTGCAGAATTATAAAATGACAATGTCAATAGCATATAAGGAAAATTTGTATAAAATTTGTATAAGTTTTACAGGTGGCATTTACCCCCGGCGAGAATAGCCAGAATGTAAAAGAATAAATCGGAGAAATGTTGGACGTGTCATCAGACTCCGGGCTCATATTACCATATGTGGTGGACATGTGCAGAAGCTAAAAGATATTGGACTAAAATCCACAAATGGCTGGAAAAAAATGACAAAAAAACATATTGACTTTAAACCAGAGACATTTTTATTGGGGATTTTACCAGAAATATACAATAGAGAAATCAGATATTTAATTGTGAATGTTTTAATGGTGGCGAGAATTGTGTTTGCTAGAAATTGGAAAGGTGAGAAGATACCCACGGATGACGACGTTATCAAGAAAATTTTGGAGTGTGCTGAAATGAGTAAATTGACATTTGAAATTAGGGAACAAGAAGATAAACAATATTATTTGATATGGGATCTATTTTATCAATGGTTAGACAAGAAAGAATGGAAATGAAATATGAAATATGAAATGGCTAGATAATAAAAACATATAAAGGGGTTTTTTTTTCCCCTTATAGAGGACAATTTACTGTAAAATAATTGGTAAATGAGAATAATAATGTAATAAACTGTTAAATAAGAAAATGTTGGATAGAGTATTAACCACAAAAGATTTGTAACCGATCAATACACTTTCTGTAATTGTAATGGATGATAATTGTTTTATGTTTTAAGTTTTGTTTAAAAATAAAAAAAAATTCCAAAAAAAAAGTAAAGAAATATATTTCTTCGGTCAGAACCAGATGCATTTGAAAGACAGAGAAAGCAAAGATTTGTGCACACACATCTTTTACTCATATAAGGGATTTTCGAGATTGGATAAGATTAGATAGCAAAGAAAAATTCTTACATTGGTACGTCGTAAGGTATTCTAGCAGGGTTTTCATCAAATTTAATTTCATAAAAGTGGTAGCCCATGTGAGACACCATTCCACCAATGATGAAGTCTCCAGGCTGGTACCACTCATGTGGAACAAGGAAAGCATCACTTGCAGGGCAGCTTAGAGAAACTACTTTATGCACCAAAAACATCAGGAGAAACATCTTGATGATCTTGTTATTGTGGAAAATATTTTGCCTTCCATCCTACCCATAGGGAAGCATATATAATCCAATACTTCATCTAAAGATAGATCTAAGGGTTTTATTTGAGAATACATCTAATGAGAAAATCGATCATTTTCTGTTTGAACATCGATGCAAGTACAAATTTTTATCTTGACTATCACAAGGGTTAGGATCTGAACGTGTACTCTACCAGAAGAAAACAGAGTGAGGAAAGCTGTAGCAATGAATCTGAGAGACATGACTACTCCTTGTACCAAACTCTCTTTATAGCCAACAGATACTTTCATGATTGTTGAATTTCTGTGCAGCCTTTGATATTTTGGCCTACAGTAATTCCTCTAGGATATAATTATTTTGTTTTGATGAGCTGGTTCAGCTACTTTTTTAAAAAAATGAGCAAATGCCAACAAAAGTAGTATAAGGGAGATTTGCAATAGAATATATAAAACAGAGGTTTTTTTTCAAGATACCACATTTATTTTCCATCTATTTTTCACAAAATAGAAAATGAACGGATTCAGAAGGTATCAGTCATTTATGGTAAGCATGTTTTCTGGGGAGTAAAAACATAGATCATTTTTTAAAAAATAATTACCTTAACCTCTCTAAAACTCTTCAAAAAAATGTCTTGCACATTCTCTGACAAACACTTTCATATATTCTAAAGAATGTTATTTCTTTTCCCACATCTAGAAGCATTTGAAAGGTAGAGAAGTTATAGATTAGAAATAAACTGTACATTTTTGCACAAACACTGTTAGATTCGTGGATAGAGAGACAGGAGGCAGGCTTCGACAACAACTCTTTTATTCACAACTATGTACAATCCAGCAGCTACCCTCTCTGACAGCCCGCCCTTTTATAGGGAGCTGTCAGGAGCGCTAGCCAATCACATTCAAGCTATTTTCCCGCTTAAAAAGATGGACCAGAGTGAAGACTATTGTTGCCAATATCTAGCACACACACCCCCCGTTTTGAATCAACTATTTACATATATAATCACGCATGTAGGTGGGACATTTGCTTGCTCTACCTGACCTGCGCAGCTCATTTATTAGGATGGCAGCAGGCTGAAAGGGAGTGCCTGTTGCTTCCTCTTGCTCCGCCCCTGGAAAGTCCTGGAACTTTTTGGGCAGGGCCTGGATGTCTACGGGAACCAGTTTGTGGGAGAAGCATCACTGGATTCCAGGTACTTCTGGTACATCCTCCAGTTCCATCGGGTTTGAGTCTCCTAAGAATGGATTAGAATTAAATTCCTGATCGATAGTGTCTTTGATACTTTCTGGGCTGAGATGGCTTCGAATTTGGTCAATAGGCGCCCATCGTGTAGTCTTACTATGTAAGATTTAGGGCCTGTGATTTTTTTCAATTTTACCCGCTAACCATAATGGTCCTTCAGCAAAGTTCTGGGTGTGAACCAGGTCCCCTATGTTGAAAATTCTGGTGTGGCTTTGTGTTTTTGTTGTTGTTTCTGGGCAATAGCTGGGGTGTAGGTGGTCAAGTAGAGACCTGAGTTGGCAGCCCATTAATAGCTCTGCCGGGCTCTTTCCTGTTATCACACTGGGTGTTATGTGTTGATACCGGAAGAACTTATCTACTCTCTCCTGCCAGTCCTCAGTGCCAGTCTGCCTTATGCCTCCTTGGCTGATCTAACGGATCTTTCAGCCAAGCCATTACTGGCCAGATGGAAAAGTGCTATGAGGGCATGGCATATCCCTAATTCTGATTTTACAGAGGACCTTATTTACAGCTTCAGCCATGGTGATGCTCATTAGGATAATTTCCATCCATTTGGAATAGGCGTCTACTACTACGAGGAAGGTTTGGCCATGAAAGGGCCCAGTGAAATCAATATGGATTCTCGGCCAGGGGGCCCTGGGACATTCCCACTCTTGAGCTGGTGCTACAGGAGGAACTGGCCAAGACTCTTGACAGAACAGGCACCTGGCTACCACACTCTTAGATCTCCCAATCCATATTCAGTCACCACACAAAGCTTTGGGCTAGGGCTTTCATCCAAACAATCCCTGGATGTCCCTCATGTAATGATTTCAACATGAAATACCTTAAACTCTGAGATATCATTACCCTGTCACCCCATAGCAAACACCCCCCTTGTGAGGAAATCTTGTGCTGCTGATTGGCAAACAGTTTGAATTCTGCCCCAAATGGGCCCTCTGGCCACCCCTTCCACACCCAGTTCAATATAGTTTTGAATGTTGCATCCTTAGCCAAGTGCTTGGCCACAGCGACAGAGGTTACAAGTCCAGAGTCCAGGCAGTCTATCAAGATGGCAGGGAGTCCTGGTGTTGGGTCATCCAACAAGTCCAGCAGTGGGCAACAGCTGAGGGCATCAGCGTGCCCCAATGATCATCCAGGCCAGTGCAGCAGTTTATAACTGTATGTGGATAGGAAAATTGCCCACCTTATAAATTGGGGTGACAGAGCCAAAGAAGTCAGTCGATCCCCAGCCAAGAGTCCCAAAGGTGGCTTGTGGTCTGTAAGCAAATCAAAATCCCTCCCAAATAAGTACTCGTGGATCCGTTTCACCCCTGCCACAGCAGCCAGCGCTTCCCTGTCCAGCTGGCTATAGTTCCTCTCCGAGCTAGACAGCATCCTGGAGAAATACGCGATCAGAGCCTCAGTTCCATTGGGGAGTCAGTGGCTCAACACAGCCCCCATGCCAAACAGGGAAGTGTCACATGCCAGTACCAATGGCATGGTGTCATTGTACTGGATTAGGAAGCTGTCCTCAGACAAGAGGTGTTTTACCACCAAACAAGCAGCAGCTTCTTTGGGTCCCCAGGACCATACACTGTTTTTGGCCAGGAGCTTATGGAGTAGCTCAGCAATGGTGTCTTTATTCTTTAGGAAGACACTGTAGAAGTTGAGCAAGCCTAGGAAGGCTTGCAACTCCATCTGGTTCCGTGGTGTGGGGGCTTCCCGAATCACCCTAATCTTAGTGTGGGTTGGGTGTATTCTCTTCCCATTTATATGGTAACCCAAGAATTTGACTTCCGGGACCTTGACCGAGTCAAGCGCATTTGCTGCCCTTGACTTGGAGCCCTGCAGATCTGAATTTTTCCAAAACTTCCCATAAATGGGATTTCAGCTGCTGTTGATAGACGGTGGTGATTAATATGTCGTCAAAATAGGGCACCACCTTGGGGATTTTTTGCAGTAGCCTTTCCATGACACTCTGGAACAGGCCAGGGGCAACGCTAATGTCAAACTGCAGGCGATGACATTTAAATGCATCCCAATGTGTTATTATGGTCTGTGCCTCCACAGTAGCACCATCTACCAACAACTGCTGGTACGCCTGCGGAAAATCTAATTTAGCGAATAGGCATCCAGGGCCCAGGGAATGCAAGAGTTGTTGGAGTATTGGCACCGGGTACGCGCTCTGCTGGAGTGCCTTATTTATCGCACTTATAATCCACACGTATTGATTAATGGACTCTCCGTCCTGCTGTACTCTATGCTGAAATTCATAACACCGCACCGTTTTTGATGGTACTGGGGCATAGTCTATCTTGAGTGCATTTTCTAGCACTTGCCACGGTACCAAATGCACCAGTGTTGGCTCAGATAGGGCTTCAGCGTGTTGAAGACATCATGCCCACAGTAACTCAGAAATAGTGCTTGATTCCGGTTATCCGACAATACAAGGGGATTGTTCACTTCCATGAAACACTCAAATCTGGTCATATAAGTGCTCCACTTCTCCTTTTCTGGGTCGAATGGCGTTGGCGGGTGAAATGCCGTCATGATTGCCTCACTGTCAGCTCTTTAGATTCTCCGTGCCTCTCAGAATCCCCTCTTCATCGCCAGTGTTAGATTCATGGATAGAGAGACAGGAGGCAAGCTTCAACAACAGCTCTTTTATTCACAACTATGTACAATCCAGCAGCTAGCATCTCTGACAGCCCGCCCTTTTATAGGGAGCTGTCAGGAGCGCTAGCCAATCACATTTGAGCTATTTTCCCATTTTAAAAAATGGACCAGAGTGAAGACTATTGTTGCCAAAATCTAACAAACACCTTTTATTTATGTAAGAAATTTTGAGGGAATTGGCTAAGATTATAAAAAGAAAATGGGCGTTGGTCTTACCTGATATGCCCTTTCTATGATAGGTGGGCACGGCAGTCATGCCTGGGAGTGACACTGCCTTGCTCCAATGAGACCGAGTCTGCTGAAAAGTTCTTAAGTCCCGCCTCTTCCTGTGTAGTCCAATTTTGAGATGAGGTAGATCAGCAGACTGTTGTGTCTGGAAAAATAGAAAACATATGAGACTGCCACCCACCCCCATGTCCCGGAACGGCACCAACAGGGAGGGGCTGACTGCCATGTCCACCTATGACAGAAAGGGTGTATCAGGTAAGATCAATGCCCATTCTCATGACGGTGGGCATGGCAGTCATGCCTGGGACATACCAAAGCTGATGTCCTATAGGTGGGAGCAGGCCGGATCCGGGAAGCAGTCTCCAGATGTACTCCTTGTAACTCTCTCTGTCCAAATGCCGCATCAGCCGAAGCATAGGCATCAAACCAGTAATGCCGGATGAACGGAGTAGGAGAGGACCAGGTGGCCGCCCTGCAGACTTCTTCCAGGGGAGCCCTGGTGGACCAGGCCGCAGATATGGCTCCTTGTAGAGTGGGCTGTAATATTCCGGGGAATCGGTAAGGCCTGGACGGAATACGCTGTAGCTATGGTAGCCCTGATCCAGTGGCCAATGGCCAAAGAAGACAGCTTGGCACCCATGGACAAGGGCTGGAAGGCAACAAATAAGGCTTCTGTGTGACGGAAAGAAGATGTGCGGGCAATGTATACCTTAAGGGCTCTGCGAACGTCCAGAGTGCGCCATGCCCTTTCCAGCCGGTGTTGCGGAGACAGACAGAAATTGGGAAGAACAAGTTCCTGTGATCTGTGGAAGATGGAGTTGATCTTGGGGATAAACACCAGATCCAGACGTAGGACCACCCTGTCCACGTGGAAAATACACAGATCCTGACGGATTGACAGGGCTGCCAATTCCAAAATCTGGCGGGGTGAAGTTATGGCTACCAGGAAAGAAACTTTGAATGATAGAAATTTGAGGTCCACCTCCCGCAAAGGTTCGAAGGGATGTCTGGTGAGGGCCTATAATACCTTGTTAAGGTCCCACGTAGGGAACCTGTGGATGACCGGAGGTTTGTAGCCCCACGTAAAAAACTGCGAATCAAAGAATCCTTAGACAGATTGACTGATGAAAAGTAAGACAGAATAGATGAAATAACAGACACCTGCCATCGTAGAGTGTTTGGTGAGAGACCTGAAGAAAAACTGTCCTGCAGAAACCCAAGGACTTGAACCACCGATGCTGAGGTGGGAATGATACTGTGCCATCTACACCATTTGGAGAAGGCGTTCCATGTGGTGTCATAAATACAAGTGGTCAATCTGCGGCAAGAGGCTTGAATGGTAGCGATGACCTCTGGCAGGATCTGCGCTTCAGTTAAGAGGAACCACTCAATCTCCGGACGGCTAGCTGGAAGGATTGAGGATCTGGATGAATCAGCCATCCTTGCAGCAGAGACACCTGTCTCTCGGGAATCCTCCAGGGAGGGGCAACTGACACTAGGTCCATGAACCAAGGGTGCCGAGGCCAATGGGGCGCCACCAGTACAAGCTCTGCCCTCTCCCTGATGAGTTTCCGGATCACCTTGGCTACTAGAGGAAATGGAGGGAAAGTGTAGAGAAGGATTCCTTGAGGCCACGGGCTGCATAAGGCATTGACTGCCTCCACCCCCTGAGATGGGAAGCAGGAGAAGAAACGGGGCAATTGATGGTTGAGAGCTGATGTGAACAGATCTACCTGAGGGTTGCTGAATCATCTGGACAGTTCCTGAAAGAGACAAGGATGAAGACTCCACTCCGCCGGGTTGATGGGATTGCGGCTGAGGGAGTCCGCTTGAACATTGGACACCCCCGATATGTGTTCTGCCTGCAGAGACACCAGATGGGACTCAGCCCAGAGACCCAGACGAAGAGACTCCTGCAGCAGAGCTTAGGAACGAGTCCCTCCTTGTCTGTTTATGTGCGCTTTGGCAGTGATGTTGTCCGTGAGGATCAGAACCTCCCTGCCCTGGACCTGAAGGGCAAGGAAGATCGCCCTGAGTTCTAGGAGATTTATGTTGAGATCGCATTCCGCAGGGGACCACCTGCCCTGAATCATGTGAGTCTCCAGGTGTGCTCCCCAACCTACTAGGTTGGCATCCGTTGTGATGACTAATCTCTGAGGCTTGAGGAAGGAGCAGCCCTTGGAGACATTCTCGGGTGTCCACCATCTGAGAGACTCGATGACGTTCATGGGCAGAGGAAGGAGGAAGGTTGAGATATTGTTGAGGTTCTGCTGGTATGGCAGAAGAAGCCACTGCAATTCCCTGCTATGAAGACGAGACCAGGGTACTATACCGTAACAGGACACCATCTTGCCTAACAGGCTAGACAAACCTATCAGGGAAGCCAATTGGGACTGAACAAAACAGAGGGCCATTTCACTGAGACTACCTTGTCGATCTTGGGATAGGAAGACTTTAGCCGACATCGTATCAATCACCAATCCCAGGTGCTGAAGTTGGGTAGAAGGAGCCAAATGACTCTTCTTCCAGTTAATGTAAAACCCGTGAGCCTTCAAAATATCAAGAGATGTGGCAACGTCCCGACGAGCTTGAATCTCAGATCGGGAAAGGATGAGGATATCATCCAGGTAAAAAAGGATCCTGACAGGGATGGAAGAAATATGAGAAATAAGGGCCGCCATAATCTTAGTAAATGCCCTAGGCGCTGATGATAAACCAAATGGAAGGGCCTTGTACTGGTAATGTCTGCCATTGTAACAAAACCTGAGGAATTTATTATGAGCAGGGAGGATAGGGATATGCAAATAAGCTTCTGTTAAATCAATTGAGGACATGACATCTCCCTCTCTAACTGCCAAAAGTATAGTGTAGAGGGATTGTATTTTGAACCAGTGATAAATTATATACCGGTTCAAAGGTTTTAAATCTAGGATAGCCCTCCAATCCCCCGAAGCTTTCTGCACTAGGAATAAGCAGGAATAGAATCCCTGACCCCATTGGAGAGAAGGGACCGGCTGGATGGCCTTGATTAGCAAGAGGTGGTCAATGGCCGCATTAACTCGAGCTCGTTTGGCTCTGTCCAAGGACAAAGGACAGCACAGAAAAAAATTGGGGGGGGGGTTTGGAGTGGAATTCAAGAGCTAAGCCAAATCGAATAGATTCTTTAACCCAGGAATCTGAAACGGTGTTATTCCAGATGTCAGCAAAAAAAGATAACCTGCCCCCAATCCTAGAATCAGGAGGAGAATTAACGGGCTTGGCAAAAGGGCCGGCCCCTGGAACGGCTGAACGGTCTCCTGGAGGAGAACCTGTACCCCTATCTGACCTGAGAGTCCTGTTGCTGAGATCCCCATGGATGAAAGGAACGATGTGAACATTTCTGGTAGAAACTGGAGTCGTCGCCCCGAAAGGATCCCAAATGAAAGGAAGTCTGTGGATGGATCTCCAACCTTCTAGAAAGAGATGGTAAGATTTTACGATGGTCCTTAGTTTCAACAAGGAGGGGCTCCAGAGGGGCCCCAAACAACTTGTCACCCTGGAAAGGGGAAGAAGCTAGACGCCATTTAGCTCTTTGATCTGCCTGCCAATTTCTGAGCCAGAGAAGGTGCCTAGACGTCACTGAAGAGCCAATAGCCTTAGCAGAGAAACGAGCTGCGTTGAGGGTGTATCTACAGAGAATTCCACAGCTGCCAATATTTTGTTTAAGTCCTGGTGAGATCTATGGTCAGCCGCTGGAATTCTCTCCTGGAGTTGCTTCAGCCATAGGATGGTAGCATGGTTGAAGAAAGATGCTG